CTTTTGCCTTGCCAGAATGAAAGCTCTCAGAAGACCTGTGTCAAACAGAGTGTTTTGTTTCTCCTGAAATGTCAGTGCACACAGTACTTGTGGTGAAGGTAGTGGAAATGCAGGGCCTAGTTCATCACACGCAACTGTGGCAGGCAAAAGTGTCAGTCATCCTTTTATGCAGGAGATTCCTGACTTGGGGATGTTTCCAGCAGGAAACAAACTCCTTCCATTCCCAATTTTGATTTAACGGAGCTTGACTCCATCTCGCTCCCCTCCTAGGAGCAATGCCTGTGGTCTATGTGCTCTTTTGGGCACTCAGTCAGAGGATGTGTTCAGCCTCTCCTGTTGATGATGCTACAATCTGGAACAATACTGCAGACTGCTGAGTATTTTGGGATAGGTCTCCTGAACCCCTCCCATTGTTACTTTTCTGCTTTGTCAGAGCAAGGCTACTTTCTGTCCTAGTTGCTGGCACGGGATCTTAGAAGATTGTCTTGGTTTAGGCCCAGTGCCTAACAGAGCACCATGATGCCCCAAAAAGGGCTAGTCAAAATAAGAACTGGGAGGGTTTCTCATCACTTAAAAGGGTCACAGGCAAAAGACAGACTCATCATTAGGAATAAAAACAAAACAATTTTAACTTGTTACCAACATCAGAGTAGAACAAAGGGAGATATAACCAGATCTTAAAGTCAAAACACCTTCCCCCCACCCCTCCCTTCTTCCTGGGCTCAGCTTTTGTTCCCAGTTTCTTCACCTTCCCCCTCACCCTTTGCCTGGAGGCACAGGGGGATGGGAGTGAGAGGTTGCAGTCGGTTTTTGTGCCATGTGCTCCTTAGGAGTAGGAAAAACAGCCCAGTCTCTCTCTCTGCTTCCACATGGCCCCCGCTTTCCATAAGGAAGAAACTCCTCAAGAGTCCAATGTGGGTCTGCGCACAGCTGCAGTTTCCCTCACACATGAACTGCTCCAGCATGCACTGCTCGGAGTCACGGCTTCTTCAGGAGCAGCCACTGCTCATGTGGCCCTGCCCCACCCGTGAACTCTACGGGCTGCAGGCCAGTCGACCTGGCTCTCGCCACAGGTTGCAAAAGGGGAACCTGGGCTCTGCGTCCTCCTCCTCCTCCCTCTCCTTTCTTTCCTTCAACCGAGCTTGGTGTTCTTCAAAGTCGTTCTCCTCGGACCCCACTCTTTTTCTCTGCTGCATGTCTCTTCTGATGGTTCTGGAGTTCCCGTCTCTCTCTCTTTTTTTTCGGGATGGAGCTGCAGTGGGGCTTAAGCTTTAACTGTGGTTGGAGCCGGCAAAGCCCAGCTGGGCAGTGCTGGGGCCACGCCCCCCACACCTGGAGCCGCACTGGTCAGGGCCAGTGCCAGAGAGAGAGCAAAGCATGCCCTGCACCTCCCTTAAATACATGAATTCATAGGGGCACTGATTGACTTGGCCCTAGTCAGAGGTGGGTCTGACAAAGGAAATGGTGGAGCTTTTCAGGTAGCTTCTTAAAGGGCCATCTCCATAGCCCTTCCCCCATTACCAAAGACGCAACCAAAAACCCCTCACTGAAAACCCAATACAAAGATGTCAGGCATTGAACAAAGTCAATAAGAAGCACAGAAGCCACAGTGCCCTTATGCACTTAAACACTCAAATACCAGAGTACATTTTAACCTGGCAGTTTGGACTGTCCGGTGTAAAGAAGCTGGTGAAGTTTCAACTTGTTCAAGAAAAAAACAACCCAGCCCTCCCAGAAAAGTTAAACTTGTGATGCTTGGTGTTCAG